CACACATACACACACACACACCTCGGCACTCACTCACAGCCATGGCGAGGAACGAACCTCCTCCCCGTCTCAAATGCTGCTGGAGAGCTATCTGCTGAAGGAGAGGAGCTGTAAGCAGTATAACAGGTTGATGTGGCAGTAGATAGACCAGCTAGACATAAGCAAATGACACTCGCTTCACCTAAAGTGGACATCTCGTAGCCCCTTCTTTTTAGCCGCGCCTGCTGCAAGTTCATGCACGCCACCAACAAGCAGCAGAGCGGCCGGAAGGCCTCCAGAGACGCTCTCTTGACCCAAGAACTCTCCTGGCCTCAGGTATATGGCGACCTGCAACGCATATCCCGGAGCACACGCGCCAGTTCCGGTGCTAGGGCTTATTGGCGCCGCAAATGTAAGTAACGTTGCCACTGCAGGCGAGGTATCTCCCGCCGCCCTTCACTCGCCTTTCTGCGCCAAACGGCCTTCACAGAGAGGATAGTGGTAGCCAGAAGTCATGGTTATTACTCTCTATGCGTGTCACAGCCTCATCATGGAAGAATCTGGCAGTAAAATAGGGGGAGAGGAGAGATGGGTGGCCGTGAAATTCAGGGGGCTGGTAAAGGAGGACATCTGAAGAGTCACAGCCAGAGTCCCAAACTCTCCAGCGCTGAGTTCCAGATACCAGACTTCCGACCTCCTCCTCCTCCTCTTCTTCTTCCTCTTCTTCTTCTTCTTCTTCCTCTTCCTCTTCCTCTTCCTGCTCCTTTTCCTCCTGTTCACCAACCTTTGCATCTTCAGCTTCATCAGATCTCTATTCAACCTCTCTTGCCCCCCTTGGGAGAGTAAACAGGTATGTACTCTCTTCCTCAACTCGCAGCCGTCACATTTTGCCTCATAGCTAATAAAAACGGCGTATTTGCCGCAGAAAAGGGCAAATACAGCACAGTTATACCAGCTCAAGGAACAGGGATATCTCAAAATGGCCTCTCCTTTAATCATGAAGTCGGCCGCTCCCACAGCAAATCTATCACCTGAGATCGCCAGAGAACCAGCAAAAAAGAAACAAAAAGTGGTTCCAGGGCTGGAACCCGGGTACTTTGCCTCACAGAAGTCGTTCACATCCGAGTATTTCCCCTTGGAGAGCCCTATAGGGTATGGGGGGAAAATTCCTACCACTATTCCCCTAGCAGCAGTGATCTGGAGAGACTACTGCAATGGCACAAAGGAAACCTTGGACCCCATCAAAATCGACATGTACAGCGGTGAGCCTGGCATCCAATTCGATTATAAACGCCTTAACGAGATGATTTTCAACTTCCCCAAGGATTTGCCTGAAAAGTTCACCGATGCTTTTGGGGAATTGGCAGCCGCTCGTGTCCGCTACTTTGCAACACATGAGGTTTACAGGAAAGAAACGACGGCTCTGACAGAGTCAATTGCTATTTTCGAGCAACTCAACACGAAACGACGGGATATCCACTCCAATCCGGGTCATTATGAGCCGCATGCCGCAGAGAACACCATTCTTGCACTGAAACGGTGTATTGCAGAACGCAACCATCAAGAAGAGCAGTGTCAAAAAAGAGGAGGTTCCCTCCAATTTTTTGCCGAGAAATTCGTCGAAGCAAAGGAAAAGGCAGCACCCTTCAGGGATCAACTCCAGAAATTTTATGACGATATCGAAGAAGCCCACAGTAAGGCGAAGGAAGCCGAAGCCAAGAGACTAGAGCAAGAGAAGGTCGAGAAAGAAAAGAGCCAGAAAGCAAAAGCCGAAAAGGAGAAATTGGCCAAGCAGAAACGTTCCGGGGATAAGGTCAAGAAGGAGAGACGTCAAAGGACCGATGCAGCTACGAAAGCACGTTTGGACCATGACGCCAGAGCTTGGGCCGAGTATCTGGCAAGGAGCGAACGCATGCGGAACGGAGTCAATGATGCTGCTAAACAACACGGTGGAAAGCAGGTCAATCTTGGATAAATATGTCCCCAGCTCCCCCCCAGCACACACATAAAAAAAAAAAAGAAAGAAAGAAAGAAAGAAAGAAAGAAAAAGAAGGATTTGACACCGAAGTCACAACACGGAGTCAGGTATGCAGGTAAAATTTTTTCATTTTGTGGGAAACACTGGATCTCATTTGGCGTTGGTTTTGCATTGATTCAATTGGGGATATGGAAATGGAGAAAGATTGACGAAAGGAAAAGAAAAAAGGAGAAAAAAATAATAAAAAAAGTAACCGCCGGACAGGGAGAGGGAAATTGACATTGATTGATCTTGTTGTTAAGCTGTGTACATTAGATGTCTTCCATGAGGAAATGAAAGCTGTTTTGATGCATATGGTATGTTGCCTCTCTCTGACGTTCGGCCTCGATATCTTGACGTCTTCAGCCAACTATCGCCAAAACCTTGGATGGAAGCTTGTCCACCACGTGATCAACACTTTCCTACAAATTACACCAGGGAGCACAACGAAGCAACGCAACGAGCCAAGGTCTATCTACATACATGGATAGTGCATGCTGTGCTGACTGCGCCCTGTCAAGGATCTGCCTTCTGCCAGCCAAATATCGTCGTCGGCGTTTCCAAAAAATACGAAGAAGTCGCCTTTGAGTCACGAAAACACGTGATATAATTATATAATCTAACTGCCTATTGGCTAGGATAACGGCACTAAACCCAAAGAGGGAACATGCCAGAACACGAACTTTTCCCGCTTTGATGACGTCGAAAAGGACTAGACGGACGACGATCGACGATCGACGATCAACGCGCAGGAAGGGCTCTATATATATACATAGAACTGTCTTCTGTTTCCTGGGCCAGGATGGCTCTCCTCTTCTCTTGCAACCTCAGATATATGTGAGCAGGTCCTGAAGGCCATAGTGTTAGTTATCCGCAGCTAGTTCATCCATCATGGTCAAGGTCGCGATCGCAGGGGGCTCTAGTCCGACGCTGGGCCATTCGGTTGTTTCAGCCCTTTTGGCAACGAACGGCCGTCATACGCCAGTTATTCTCTCGAGGAAGCGAGAAGGCGGCTCCCCGGCGTCTAGCACGGCAGCTTGGGCGGTTCCTGGATCGTCTTCTACCGCCGAAGTAGAAACTCGGTACGTCGATTACGAGTCCAAGGACTCGCTGGTAGCAGCCCTGCATGATATCGACACTGTCATCAGTGTGCTCCTTATCCATGACACAGACACGTTCGTCAATACCCAGATCAGACTGCTGCATGCCGCCGAGGCCGCTGGGTGCCGACGCTTTGCACCGTCTGAGTTCTCTGGCGGACACAAGTTGCACTTCTTAGTCGACTTTGAGAGAGAGGCCAAGCTTCCCGTGTGGGAGGCTGTGCTCCAATCCAACATCGACGCCGCCCTCTTTGCGAACGGGATGTTCATGAATTACCTTGGAATCGGCAGTCCTGAGAAAGACGGTAATCGGGCAGAGGCGCTGGCGGGCTTTGCTGAGGGGCCGTTATTGTTTAACTTGGTCGAGGGCTGGGTTGAGGTGCCCGTGGTCGTGCGTGAGGGTGGCAGCGTACCACCACCAGCCGCTATAACCATGACCAACATCCGCGACATTGGCAGGTTCATCGCAGCGGCTATCGACCTGGAGGAGCCCTGGGGAAAACGAGAGCTTGGGATGGCCGGTTCAACTCTTCAGTTCGACGAGATCGTGAGCCTGATCGAAAAGTATACAGGCCGCACGATGGAGGTACGCCCGTTCACCAAGAAACAGGTCGAGGAGCGGCTTGCCAGCCCTGCGGAAGGGGTTTTGGGAATCATTGAGAAGCTGGAGTGTCAGTTGAAGAAAGTGTGTTGCGATGGTGGCATCACTGTCCAGCCAACGCTCAACCGCCTCTGCCCGGACGTAAAGCCCATGACTTTCGAGGAGTTTCTCAAGAGGTACTGGGCGGAACCATCCGGACCCACCGTTGATGCATGAACGATGCATAAACTTGAAGCTAGAAGGGGTGAAATTTGCCCTATCTGCTCGCCTATGTAGGTGGGTAAATAAAAAAAGTAGGTAGCATCTCAGAATGGAATCGTGACCTCTGGCGCATGTAACACCTCGTATACAATCTAGACCAAAGACATGGGACGAGCAGTAACCTGATCAGCGGTTTGATATCAAGGTTAAATCTGGGAAATAGCTTCCGTTCCTCACCACCTGCCAATAGCTTACTAAACTCGCTAACGACTCCTTTGTAACAGACTCTTGCTCCAGCGGCGAATGTACAGGGACCTTTTGATATCGATGTCAACAAACACCAACGGCCCCTCTGGCCCCGTCCAGCAGCCTGTCTGAGATTCTCGCCAGCTCTCTTGACCGGGAGGAGGCACTGTTTCTCCTGAGATGCCCTCCAGCAGTGGGGTTTGAAACCTAGACACACTCCAGGATCCCTTGAGCCGTTGCAGGCCAAGCGGTGATAGTTAACTGGTTAGTGAGAGCATCCATCTACTAGGTCACCGCGATGCCATGTGGCCAGACATCCTAGCGAGATCCGCCACCATTCAGGGTTACATGCCCAGCCGAGCAGATGCCACTGCGTGTATATCTTGTATTTGGCCCAGCAGCCTGACGAAAACGGCAGCTTGCTTGTCTCGCGCTGTCTGTGTGCAGTTAACTAGCCATCATCTGATATCGCTGGCTGATGTCCCGGGATGCTTAACTAGTTAACTAACTAGTTAGCTACCTTGTTCAATACTGCAGGGAATGGAGAGAATCGCCACTGACACTCACAGGCTGCCTTTTCGCCTATGGGATATCGGCTCGACTAGTTGCCCTACCTCTGGGACTGGCTTCAGGCCCATATGTTGTTTAATTTCCGGAGAGCTATTTAACCATCTCACTCGCGCGATAAAGAAATTCTTAATTTGCGGGTGTGGAGGTCATCCTTCGCGATGGATGAAGGGAGGGTTGCACGCAGGAAAAAGCAACGACTGCATCGACAACCACAAGCTGTCCTCCACCTTGACCAGCAAGAGTGAAGCCCTCGCTGCTGCTCGCCCCCGATAGCCAGTCAGCATCGCAGGTTCTGTGGCGATCTACCTGTAAATTGAGCAGGCAGGGGCTGGTTTTTGCCGGGAGTCAGTAAAAGGATATAAATCTGGCCGTCCTCCCCGTCTGCTCCCTGGTTCTTGTTTACAATCACTTACATTCCTTTGCACCTCCTCACTCCTCACTCGCTCTCTCTTTTTCTCTTCATCGCTCCCTTCCGCTCTGTCAAACAAGAACTACAACTGAATAACTACATTGGCTGGAGAACGATGCGTTTCGCCAAAGCTCTGGCCATCACGGCCGTGCTGCTGTCTGGCGTCGTTGAAGCCACCTCTGATGCCGTTATTGAGGAAGCCCTGAAAGCCCGTACTATCAACCCGCTGCCAGGACCGGTAACCTGGTACCTTCACGCCGACGAAGGCCGCAAGTACCTCGCTCCCTTTGTTTCATACCATGGACCGCGCCAGAGTGGCATTAGGGATGCATGGGAGAGATGCTACAGCACTATTCGTCGCCTCAAATGGTATCCGCAAGCACTCGAGGGCCCCATCCCCAAGTTCGACCCGTTCCCTGACCAGTCCTCCAAGCCCAAAGAAAAGAGACAAAATGCTCCTCCCGGTGCCATGATCAGAAGGGTTAACGTCAAAGTCTCGGATGTCAATGCAAAGCTGGCTCATAAAGTAGATGAATCCTACAGCTTGACGGTCAGCGCAAGGTCCGAGGCCATCGAAATTGAGGCCAAAACTCCCTGGGGAGCTCGCCATGCATTCACCACTCTGCAGCAGATTGTCGTTTACGACGAAACGACCCGGCAGTTTTACATCGAGAGGCCTTTCACCATTAAAGAAGGTCCTCTGTACCCAATCCGGGGCATCCTGCTCGATTCTGGCCGTAACTTCATCTCCCCGAGTAAAATCAAGGAGCAGCTCGATGCCATGGCTCTGTCAAAGCTAAACGTCCTCCACTGGCACATCACTGACACTCAGTCCTGGCCCCTTGAGGTCAGAACTTATCCTCAGATGACCGAGGATGCCTATTCAAAGAGGATGGTCTATTCCCACGCGACTATCAAGGAGATCATCGAGTATGCTAGACAACGTGGAATCCGTGTCATCCCTGAGATCGACACACCCAGTCACTCTTCCTCTGGCTGGAAACGGATTGATCCTGATTTGGTGGCTTGTGGAAATTCCTGGTGGTCCAACGATTTCTTCCCACACCACACTGCTCTGGAGCCCAACCCAGGACAGCTTGACATAGCCTATAACAAGACTTACGAGGTGCTCGAGAAGCTTTACAAAGAAGTTTCTAGCCTCTTTGAGGACGAATTCTATCACCTCGGTGGTGATGAACTGCAGCCGAACTGCTACAAATTCAGCAAACATGTCACCCAATGGCTTACCGAACATCCAGATAAGACCTTGGATGACTTGCTTCAGGAGTACGTTGACAGGACCCTTCCGGCTCTCGACAAGATCAAACACCGCCGTTTCATCTACTGGGAAGACATGCTCCTCTCTGAGCAAATTCACGCGGAGAGGATTCCAAGGAGCGTTGTCCTGCAGACCTGGAATGGCGGGCTCGACAACATCAAAAAGCTTACCTCCAACGGCTATGATGTTATCGTGTCTTCTGCTGATTTCTTCTACCTCGACTGCGGTAATGGTGGCTGGGTCAGCAATGACCCCAGATACAACGTCATGAAAAATCCCACTCCCGGAACGCCTAACTTCAACTACGGCGGCGACGGCGGTTCTTGGTGTGCTCCGTACAAGACCTGGCAACGTATCTACGACTATGATTTCGCCTCTGAACTTACTGTCCCGGAGAAGGACCATATTCTAGGCGGTATCGCTCCTCTATGGTCAGAGCAGATAGATGATGCTAACATCACTCCCAAATTCTGGCCCCGCGCTGCTGCTCTTGCCGAACTGCTCTGGTCCGGCAACCGTGACAAAGAGGGCAAGAAGCGAACGTATCTTATGACTGCCCGTATAAACAACTTCAGGGAATACCTTGTTGCCAACGGTATTGGTGCCGCACCACTACAGCCCAGATACTGTCTTAAGCATCCGCATCACTGCGATCTTTACAGTGATCCGAACGCAGTTCAGGGTTAGAGAATTGCAATCTGTCTTGGGAGAAAATAAAAAATAAAAAATTAATAACTGATATGCAATCATTAGCTTAGTTAGCTTCTCTTGTTAATTAGTTTTATATACGCATATTATTAGCGTTTTTTTAATTTTATCTAGAGCCGTCTTCTTGCGGCTGTTTTTTATTTCTGCCCTGCACAGCTTGTATAACTAATGGTTGCGTCCCATCGGTTTAACTAGTATAGCTCCCTATCTTATCAAGGTTTGACTAAACTTCAATAGTTTACTGCTCTATAATGCAAATCCGGGCTCAAGCTAATATCGGTCATCCATGTGGTAATTGCAGCACAAACATCATCTACATCAAGGACAACTCAACGGAACACGGAATGAAATTAACGATTAAATATAGCCATAGTAAATCAGGGGAAAGAAGAAGAAAGATTAAAAGGAGAATACCATGCGGAGCCAATGAGGCTGTTGCTTGCCAGATACACTAGGTAGCGCTGGGAAAGGGAAATGCAGGTGCAAGAAGTATTAAAACAAAGGGAAGTATATTCAATAGAGGGCTCGGACATTGGTATCAAAAAGAGGGGGGGAACATTCAAGAATTATCCAACATGTAGAAGGGAATAAAACATTCATCCAAATAAAATGTCATATCTTACATGAATGTAAGAGGTAAAAGGGGGTTGAAGGAATAAATGGCCAACTGCCAGAAAAATGAAAAAAGAAAGGGGAGAAGGGGAATATGAGGAGTGTAGCTGAGGAGTGATGTCAAGTATGGGTGATTAAATGCAGCCGAGTTGAGATCAGAATATGAATATGAAGGATAGCGAGGGCTGGGAGGGTATATACGTTCAGGGATGCGCCGTATGAGCCTATTCTTCCTTTACTGCTCCGCCCATTGCGCCACCTTCTCGGAAGTTGGCACGGCTGGCCTTTCGACCGGACTTCAAAAGGCTGAGCCGTCTCATGACGGAGTCCCGCACTGCAGATGCGCTCATGTTGCTACTTCCGCCCGAATTATTCGTTAATGGGCTAATTGGGGAGTGCTGGCCTCCTGAACGAGCGGATATACCCGTTCGATTGCTGCCGTTGGTCGACGGTCGGGTCTGGGGGATAGTTGAGTAAGTAGTTCCATTCTGTTTGCGAGCAGCCTTCGCCCTTTCGATGATCCGCTGTTGTGTCGTTTTGATGTCTTCCGTGGACGGGGTTGTTGTACAATTGGGCCTTGCTTCAGTAGCGTTGCCGTTATTACTACTAGTGGTACTACCGTTTCCGAACCAGCTGCGGCGTTTCTGCGAGCCATCTGTCTTGCTCTGGGCTGAAAGACTGCCTTTTCTTTCATTCATATCCGCTTTGTTGCTGGCCGAGGTAGGGGCTCTCAGCGGCTCGTTTACCATCGTGGTACCGTTGAGCTTCATTCCTTCGCTGATGGATTGATTTCTCAGGCTGCTATTAGACCTTATTGTTTCCTGGGTAATGGTCGTGACAGAGTTAGAAGGCCCATGATGCGAACGTCTGAACGGGTTGAGGCTTAAGCGACGGCTTGGAGCCTCGGATACTGCGTTGGACAGAGATCTTGAAAGTGACGGCTTGGGTGGTGGACCATCATTTTGGATATCTTGTACTCGAGGAGCCTGGGTATTTGCGAAAGGATCAAATCGATTGAAGGTGGGAAGGGTGTCTTCTTGGAATTGCCCGGCTACAGGTATGAAGGTTGCAAGCTCGTGGGAGAAGATAGATTCAAATTGACGAACAAGCTCTATCTGGTCGGATTGATACGATGGTCGAAGGTTGAATAGCATGAGGCAACGCTTGATCGCTACAGCATGCTCTATCAAAGCAGTTGCAAGGGCGTTTCTTAGAGGGTGGTTGGGGTGTACTGGCCCATCTACGTCGCCATTCTCAGTTGGTACATCCATATCATAATCCTCTTGAAGGAATTGACGGTAGAGTGCAGCACAAGTGGACGGTTGGGCTTCGACATCAACAAGCTGTCGAATAAGTTCAGCTACCGCTGAGAGATTCGCATCCGGGTTCAACGTGGCTCTCCTTTCAAGAATTATAAGTTCCTGGGTCTTGCGCCATGTTCTTTCTATAGCAGTTTGCAAGGGGGTCAGAGAAACTTCGTCAGTTGCAACTATCTCACTGCGTCTAAGGATGTTGGGAAACGGTTCGGCGACGGTATAGATAGTCTTCTCAACCCATTGTTTCTTAACATTGTTTCCATTCAAGTGTTTCTTAGACGTAACTGAAAATTGCGCAGGTACAGAAGTCAAGAGGTGGTCTCTAACGGACTGGGGGACCTTGGTTCGTTGATAGACTGGATGGTTCATGTCGCGGTGAATGCTAACGGCGGATACCCGAAGGAACTGGCCCTCTAAATCTTCAATCTCTCCAGATGTAATAAGTTGAGCGGCCGGGTATTCTTTCTGCAGTCGGTCGGTAAAGCTGGCCAATCGATCTGTCGGGTGTCCTTCGAAGATATATTGCTTATCCCTTACAGTAGCCGGGAACCCAAGACCCTTGAAAGTGACACGGAAGTATCTCGCGACCTGGATATCATCTCTGACAATGGAGTCATAGATTCTAGCCATAGATGTCTGCGTTCTTGAAAGTTTGGCGAAGTCTAGGGTGGTATGCTCATATTGGTCTGCAAGTTCCCGATAACATGCAAGAGCATGTGCCCAAGCCTTCCCATCTTCGAAATGCTGAATGATTTGGAAATACAAGGCTTCCTTTCGATCGAAGGCACTTTGTTCTGGGAACTCGGGAATCGCAAGAGCCGGAAGCAGCTGTGAGGAATCCCAATTGTAGAGGTCGGCGTGGAATTGAAGTGCAAGGCCAGCTTCGGTGAAATTCCGGGCCGCAACCTGCCCCTTAGCAAGCTCATGCACGTAGCGAATGAAGATATCCTCCTTGTCCATGTCCTTCATGAACTCCATTAGTTTCAAAGTATTCAAACTCTCAGAAATATTACCGGAGTGTGCAGCGGCCAGGAGATCTAGCAGTTCATCGACAGTAGCAACCAGTTCCTTCAATGCTACCATGAGTTCGGGGTCAAGGGTTTCGGATTTTGAGTCAAAGAGTTCCATCAACTCAGTCATGAACAGCTTCTGGGTGATGCTTTCGGAGAAGTTCCTTGTCTTGAACGTCTCGTCTAGGCTGGATATTATCTCAGCTTCGATCATGGCCAGGTCTTCGTTCAATTGCCATTCGCTGACAAGCATGGTCTGCAATATTTCAACAGCAACCCGTCGAGGTCCCTCATGGACGCTCAGACAAAGCTCGATAATCGGAGGTACGAGGCTAGGAACATATTGAACTTGATATCCTCCAAGCCTATCCAAACCAAACCGGTCACGCTCTTCAGGGGTAGTCTCCCAACCGATGGCTTTCCAAGTGGTACGCAAGAGCTCAGCGCCATGTTCACGGACATCGCCAGCGATTTTCCACACAGCACGTCGTTTTTGCTCAGGGAAGGTTTCCAGAGCAAGAGCGTCACTTGATACCAACTTCAAAATTGTAGCAAAAAACAGTCTCCATAATTCCATGTCAAAAGTATCAGCTTCCTCAACAGGCGGGAGGAACGATTTGATAAGCATTGCGGACCAATGTTCCAAGCTTTTCACCACGGAGCGATGGTGATATATACGCAAACTTAACCAAGATGCAGGGTAGGGAACGCAATCGAGAATTGATATGTGAGTCGTGAATGCGCGGGATAAGAAGATAGCCATCTCGTCTGGTTCCATAACTAACTCCACTGGGTTTGGTATAGCGGACAACGCAGCGGTGAGAGCGGAGAGTTCAACAAGAGCCTCGTCGAATTTCTGGCTTGTCTTCGACTGCTTTAGCTGGAATGGGAAGGATTTGCTGAATAGGAGAGAAAGCCAGTTCGATTCTTCAACACCATCGGCCGCGATGGCACAGTAAGAGGCCACGACTTTGGGCATGTACTCGAAAAGCTCTGGCTCTGGATGCTTCAGCTGCTCTGCAATGATAGACGAGCATAGTCGGACCTGATCTCTGTATTGGTCTGTAACTTCTGACACAGCTCCCCAGTAAGGATCAAGCCACTCGGCACATCGAGCATAGAGCATCTTCCGCTCCTTCTGCTCGGCAAATAACGAAAGCTGGAAGTAGTTCTGGATAAGAACAAGCTTGTAGAGAATAAGCATGCCTTTAACGTCCTTGCAAGAGTCCATAAAGCTCAAGGCAATGTCGATGATTTCATCCTTGGTAAGCGCACTGGATAGCTCCGGTAGCCAGGTATGGAAATGTTGGACAACGAGGGTCTTGCTTCCAACGAGTATCGGGGCAGGATTTTGCATCAATGCTTCGACGGACTTGAAGATGAAGGTCAAGTTACGGTTGAAGGTCAATTGGATGTTTGTAATGCCAATACCTTCTTCCTTTGCCTTTTGCTGTTCTCGGGCATTGATTATGAATTTGAGTATATGTCTTCCAACCTTGAAAGCCGCACGGAGATTACGGGATTGTTGGGAGTCTGGGGTGGCCTGTAGTAGACGGCAATAGCTTCTTATCAAGCATGGAGTAGCAAAGGGGAAGTTGAACTGTTCCTTGGCATATTGATCAACCAACGGTCCAAGGTTAAAGCGACGGTCATGTAGGATTCCAAGTACAGTGACGATATCGGTAAACACAAGGTCCTCGAACTCGTCATGCCCCGAGTGTTCGACGATTATACCGAACAAGGCATCGAAGACGTTGCTTAATTGCTTGACTATCTCGATCTCGGGGACGAAGACAAGCCTCCGCAGAAGCTCTAGAAGCTCTGAGGCAGGCTTCTCCTTCCAGTTGAGAAGTCCGAGCATGACTTGATCCTGGGAATATTCAGTGCTGCATAGATCAGTTTCTACTATTAGGGTTGCCATAGGTCCGGTCACGGCTTCGTCCTTGGTGCATTCATTTTTCCCGAGGGCACTCCAGGGCAGGGATAGATAGGCTCCTTTTCCGTTTTCAATGCTTGAAGTGGATTTATCATATGCATGGAGTAAGAGAGAATGAGGTCCGTCACGGATGAACGCTTGCTGGTCCCAGAGAGGCATCCAGCTTAGGGCGAACGGGAACTCCGGGGCATCTGCTATACTCATAATCAGGTGGGATCCGGGTACCTGGTCGGCCGGGATGCTCAGGCGGATAGTCTGATTCCAGCTAGAAAGCCTCTCGGTGACGGTAGTTCTCCAGGCAATGACTGGGGTAGCGTTAGATGAAGGACAGATGCATTTTTCCACTCTGGCGCCTGAGGAATTGCGGACTTCGAGGGTTAGTTGTATGTTTCGGAGACCAGTCGACTGTGGCACAGGGACCTGGCCGTGGACTGGGTGCGAGAGGAGAGCATCCCGTGAGATGTTCGCTCGTGAGAGGGTAACGTATATATCTGACCTTGGCTTCGTTGGCGCCCCAGGAAAGCCTATCCTTCTGGTCTGAGTAACGCTGTGGAGGAGAGTAGGGTTCTTTTTGACGAGGGCGTCTGCATCTGTGCTGGTGAATGGATACAGGTGAGTGTGTAGCCTAGCAGCTTGGTATGACCGGGTATACCTTCCGGTTGGACTGTAAATTAGGCTGCGGATGATCTCATGGAAGCCATCTGTGTTTGCGTCTTCTTCTTCATTTTCATTCAGGGGCGACCAGATGGTGAACACCTGTTCGGTAGACTTGCCGGCCTTGACTAAGGGGCCGACTTCAATTGCTCCTACACCAATCATACGACAGACGGGATCTTTCTTCTTTGGGGGAGCCGCAGTCTGTTTCTCCTTATCTGTCCCGTCGCTGGATCGAGGTGGAGCGTTATTAGTAGCCTCCTTTGCTGCCGGATCTACGGGCTGTCCACCTTTGCTACCCTTAGGCCCCCACATCATGCTCCTTCTACCCCGTAAGCTGCCCTTGCCTGCATTGCTAAACTGGGCTCCAGCTCTGCTAGTGCTGGAGCCGGAGGAGGAGTGAGATTTGCTGAGGAATGGCACGGTTCGAGGTGCCTCCCAGTTGAGGACCTTGACGACGAGGAACAGTTTTGAATCTGCGCCTGATATTTCTCCTATATCTGCCGCACTTAGCTCGGTAAACAGGGTCTTTAATTTCCCGCTGACAGCAAGGGAGGAGAAACTCTCTGCAGAGGGGACATCTAAGGCATATGTTTCGGATAGGGGCTTGACATCACCGGCCGGAGACTGTAAGCACAGGCTGACTGCAAGAACAATTGGGCTGGAGATGGTGCCGGTGACCGCATCGAGTTCGAAGAGAAGATGGTGGAGGGAGACAGTATCAGACGGATGCGTTATCTTGCCATCAAGCATGCTCATTTCGGACTGGAGCTTGGTCAGTTCAATGGCTGAATCGTCTCCGGTCAGCAGGCGGCCACGCTGAGCAGGATCGCGGACGATGACATCCCCGCTCAGCATCTTGTTCCCTCGAACCAGGTTCCAAACGGTTTCTTCGCGTAGTGTCTTTCTCTCCTGGGCGGTCAGGACATTGTGTAGAAGCTGCCGCCGAGCGAGGTCGAGTTCGAGGACAATGTTGGACATGCTCTCCAAGGTAGCGTACTGTCTCCCGAGCAGCAGCCCATGGATGTTTGTTGAGTGCCATTCACGTAGACAGGAAGCAATCTCGTCGACCAGCGGCTCAGACATCGAGGTAGGCGTCTCATCCCCTATCTTGAGCATTGGCACAGGGGCCGCGGGCTTTGCGTCGGCGGAGTCCCGCCGCGGAGGAGGAGCATGAGGAGGAGGAACAGGAGGAGTGGGAGTTGGAGTGAGGGAGGCCACGGCTGGCGCCTGCATCGACATGCCAGACCGTCGCTTGGTCGCATCTTCTTCCAGCTTGAGGATGGTCAGCGGCGACAGTTTGCGAGCGGTCTTGACCTCCGGAGCCAGGCCGCGGGAGGTCGGCTTGATGTCTCCTGGCTGGCCATTCTCCGGAGACGCAGCGGCAATTGAACGCGAGTCGCCGTTGACCACGACGCCCGGGCTGTCCCGCGGCCGGTCGTTTGCCTCGTCTGCGTCTCCGAGCACTTCTCGCACCTCGACGCAGTTCTTGGGAAATATGCCGGAGAAGACGCGGGCCTCCAGCGTCTGTCCGCGGACGCTCGTCAGGCCGGCCAGTAGCGAGGGCGGCGCGACCAGGTACCCTCGATACCACTCGCCGCTGGCACCGCCCTGTTCGATTATGTAGAGTTCATCTCCGAGCTCGAGAGGCAGGTCTGCGGGCGACGACGGCTGGAAGGGATAGACCGCAACGGCGAACGCAATGCGAGGTAGGGGTTTCCAGGGCATCCTGGGGGGGGGAGGAGGAGGAGGAGGAGGAGGAGGGAGACCGAAGCCCGTTTCAGGAGAGCACAACGAGCCGGACAGAGAGCGTAGTTGTCGAAGAGCAGGAGAGAGAAGAAAGAAAAGACGTAAAAAGAAGAATAAGAAGAAGACGAAGAAGAAGAAAAGAAATCTCCTGGAAAAGGGCGGCCGGGGGGTCGACTCTTGACTGCCGCCGGCGCAGGGGCTGGAAGACGTGCAGTCCAGGGAGTTTTTGGATGTATCGCGAGAGAGAGCGAGGGTAGCCTTCAGTTCACCTGCGGGCGCCGAGAACACCTGGTCAGCTCAATACTCTGTATGCATATACTTGTACACCTATAATAGCAGATATAGCAGCGAGAGGCGCCGCTGAGGCCCTGGCTATCTATGTATCCCGCCGTCCGTCGCCTGGCCGTCGCTGTCGTTGCTTGAGTAGATGCGGGTTGTGGGAGTGACTGACTTGCATCTGCGTCTCGTCGATGCTCTCGGTCCAATGCGACTTGTTTCCGTGAGACGAAGAAGAAGAAGAAGAAGAAGAAGAAGAGCGAGAGTCTGCGGCGCCGGTTTTCCTTTCTTCTTCCTCTCTCTCTCGTCTCTGCCGTGTCTCTCGTCGTTGTCGTTCGTGGTTTTTGTTGTAGGTTCTTTTTTTTTTTTTTGTCTTTTTCTCGTTTCTTTTTATAGTTAACTTACGGGGTCGAAAAAAGGTACCAAAAGTGTTAGTTATTTATTATTAGTGACGAGGGATCCAGCCGGCCTAGTTAGAGGAAGACAAGGGGATGCTGGGAGGAAAGGAAGACAGAGAAGAAGAAGATGAAGGAGAAGAAGGAGAAGAAGATGGCGGTTTGCTAGGATCGCGGCCAAACTGCAGGCAACGAGGACTGCCGACGAACGACCCCCACAAGCCGGGACAGGCAGCGATGCGATTGAACCCCTGAATTCCGATCCCGGGGGAGCCTGCAGAAGGAGGATACGAGAGACGTTAGAAGACAGACAGACAGGGAGAGAAAGACGGCGGCAGCGGTAGTAGTAGTAGTAGTAGTAGTAGTAGTAGTGGCAGTGGTGGTGGTGGTGGTGGTACGGGGGCTGCAGTGATGCCGTTTAACTAAGGGGGGATGGAGGGATGGACAGCCAGCATCGAGCATCTCGATCGATCTCGAGACAGCGATATCTATTATTACTTGGTAGATGTTATATACAGGGAAGTTCTCATCATGCCAAGGACAGTCAAAAGGAGAGAAAAAAAAAAAAGGAGAGTAAGAAGAAAGAGATGGCAGTCAAGATGCAGAAGGAAGAAAGGGTATCATTTTGCGCCTCCTCCTCCTCCTCCCCCCTGAATAATATATAGCCCCGGGTAGATACTTCGTTAGCAAGATAGAAGAAGAGAGAAAGATAGACGGAAAGCAAAGGCGTCTTTTATCCGGCCCGTGAGATCACATCACAGCGAGCAAAGGCAGATAGAGTAAAGGGGATTTTCTGTGCGACGGATGAGCTTCCCCTTCCGTCCTCGTCTCACGGCGGGAGAAAGGGGTCACGGTAGCACGGCAGGTTTGTTGACACCGCCAGCCAGACCGTCGAGTGAAGGATGCGGTGCCGTGGCTGGTGTTTCAGTGGGAGCTGCCGTTGGACTTGAGTCGGGACTGGATCTCGGATTGCAGCAGTCGCTGGTTGGCAAGGCGGGTTTGCAGTCCCTGGCCTTGGGACTCGATGTAGTTGACGTCCTCCGAGAGTGTCTAGGCGGGCAGAGTCAGTAAAAGAAAGTAGCATATTGAAATCATCTCATCACAGAGATGGGGGAAAGACTTACGTCGAGTTCGTGGGAGTACAAGGTAAGTAGGCCGTCCAGCTCATCGCACTCTTCCATTGCACGGTCAAACAGCTTGGCCAGCTGGTCCACTCGTCCGTCATGCGAGGACTGCAGTTGGCTCAGCCAGCTGCTGGCCTGCACTCGTCCTATCTCCCGCCGTATTTCGGCCTCCAGTGCCTCGATTCCCTTGTCTTTCCCCAGCCTACCGTCCCATCCAAGGTCAGTTAACAGCCAGTCAAACTCCACGCCACGACCACCAAGCACGGCCGGGTCGATCCCAAGTGCGCTGCAGCACTTTTTGGTATTGTCTTCCCGCGGTGCTTTAACGGGCTTCGTCTCCTTTCTCTTCAGAGATGAGGAGTCTGCCGAAGTTGTAGACCTATCAAACGAGACTTCCTTGCCGGTACTAGAATCCGTGACCTGCACCTTGGGTGGCTCGGTAGTGGGAGGCTTGGTTGCTGCTGTTGTAGTCGTTGTCTCTGCGCTGATTCCTCTCTGCAACGGCGCCGGGACAACGCCTGTAATTCCATCTGGTCCCTCTGACTTCTCTTTCTCTCTAGCTGCCCGTAGACGCTCAGCTGCTCCGCCAGCTCTGGGCTTGAAGGCGTTGTATGCATTCGCAGCCTTGCGCAGAACATTAGCCACGTCCTTCGCGCCGCCCTTGCTCTTCATCATAGGACCCAGTCCCCGTCGGTGAGTCTCGACTTCAGGCTCTGGTTCAGGCCCGGGCTCGGGGAGAGATGCGCTGCTTGCAGCTGCTGGTGGAATGTTTATCACTGGAGGCTTTGGTTGCTCCGGAGAAGATTCGGTCTTCATCAGTGGTTCACTTGGAGGCTCAGGGGTAGCGCGGCCTGCCAGTGCCTTCTCCATATCGGCGGCAAAATCGCCGTTGATTGCAGGTGGTCTTATTTTCGGTGGCTCAGGTTGTGGTACTTCCTTGACTGCCGGAGGAAGCTCAACCTTGGGGGATTCCCGAGGAGGTGGCACTGCTTTATACCTATCCTCCTCGCCATCATTGCTCTTGACGCTTCTTATGCTCTTCTGATCATAGCTAGGGGACCTGTCAAACGCTGGCCGCAACGAAGCTGGCAACGAAGATTCACTGGTCGATGGCCGTGTTTGCACAGGTTTGCTGAAAGGTGATATATCGCCACTGTCTAGGCTAGACTGATGTTGTTTGCCTTGGCCGTATGGCTGTGGCCTGTCCTCTGACTTGGGTGATGGAGCTGGCGCTGGCATGGGGGTATACACCTTATTAGGTAGCAAGCCACCGTCAGATACGGGAGATAATGGCATTGGTTTATACGTCCTATTTGGCAAAATTTGATGCTCAGAAGTAACCGGGGATGGCACAAGATTCTCAGTTGAAGGTGCATCTCCAAGCTGCCTTGACAGAGGCTCTACCGGTGGTGTTTGTAGTGGAGGTTTTGGTGGTAGGTTACTAGCAGCATTGTTATTACTACTATCACCCGGTATCCGTGGCAGTAAAGTTGTTGGGGGCGGAGCGCGTGGCATCTGGTCCTGGCTAGGTTTGTTTTGTAGAAACTGTTCTCTAGACGGCTGTTTCCGCATATCTGGAGGACCATCACGGCTAGGAGGTAGATTGGAATACGGGGATTGGGACCTGTTTGGCCCTGTAGACGGAGACTGCGAACGGGGATTCATTCCATGCATCAACCTTGGGTCCTGTCCCCTGCTTGGAGGTTGGGACTGAGGGGAAGGCTGTGATTGTGATTGTGACTGCGGAGGAGGTTTGGAAGCCAACGGCAAGCTCCCAACCAGCGCTTCTTTCTCATTCGGGTCCAGCCCAACCAGCTCGGGAACTCTCCCACCAGTATATTTCTTGTATATCTTTACGAGACTGCCGATAAAGAAGTCCCGCTCCTTGGAAGTTGCCGCAGTCCAATAATATGGCTTAGTGATCGTGACAATGAATCCCAGGTCTGCAGCCCATGACTTTTGTTGCTGTTCGATCTGACTTGATGGGGTCAAGTGGTCGTATATCTGGATGCGAGATAGATCGTCCAGCGTCCATGTCTTCCCTATCGAGAACGAGCCGTCGCTGTTCTCTCTTGACTTGTGCATTCGCACTCGGCCAGACTTCCGTACAGACACAATAATTGCTCTCGGCTTCTTGTTCTCCGGTGGGGAGGTGCTTGGAGGCGGAGCCGATGGATAGGCTGCATCTTCCGTGATACGGATATGGGTGATGTACGACTCAAGTGCTGGCCGACTGTTAGCAATCTGTTCATTCAAAATATATCACTTGCAAGAGCGTTTTTATTTTATTTTTTTGGTTTTGGACGCAAAACGGTCCCTGGCTTCTTGCGCGGCTCTTATCACGCTGCTGTTTGTATAGCTAGCCCGCCTCGTTGGTGGTCTGGAGACAAGATATGCTTACTCGACCCATCAGCATCCTTCTTGGAGAAACAACTGTTTATTATCCTTCGTTTCTCATCCTCAAATCTTTCTGCCCTCGAAGATCCAGATGATGGGTGCATTGGTCCTGAGCCGTTACGCATCTCTCCGCCGCGGCGCTCCTGGCGAGGTGATGCACCAGCCGGACGCCCTCGAGAGCGGTCGCGGGAGCTCATGTCGCCGGAGAAGGAGAAGGTGTTTGCGTCTGGGAAGGTCGTATGTGGCCGCACCGCCTGGTACCAGCTACCAGGCCGTCAAGCTCTCTGCCGTGTGGTTTCTGGATTGCGATGGTCGAGTTTGTTTCGTCTTGCTGCTTCGTCTTTGCTGTTGCTTCAGGCGAAGTCGCATCGCCGTATGGTACTGTTACAACCGCGGATTTAGGGCATTCAATTGGTTAAGCTTATTTAATCAGCCAATCAACGGATAGATAACTGTGGACTGTAGCCAATAGAATAAAGTAGCCGCAAGTTTACAGTACATCATACCATCATCCGCTGCCTTTTTCATGAAGCCACCGAATCATAGTCCAAAGCTGGAAATATCAAGGATAAAAGGTGATGGTCAACTCTCTTTTTTCCCTTTCTATAACTGATGACCGTCCGCTGTTATCGCTATTGGCCTCCCCTTGTCCTCTTTGCTCTCGCTGATCAGAAAAGCCGCCAAAAACATACGATCCATGTCATGTCCATTTTAGGACTAGCGCGGCGTTTGTGCCTTTAAACTTTCTTCCCGCGAAAGTTTCTTTTTTCCACTTTTTTTTTTTTTC